CTAGCTGTTCCCTGGTGTTCAGCTCTGGTCTCAGCACAATAATATAACACTTGGGTAGGAAAATGCAAGCCAGTAAGCCACCACCTGAGGCCAAGATGGAGAAGACCTCCACAGCCACCATGAATTTCCCCTTGGTGCTCAAGTAGGTGGGCACAAAGGACACCCAGACACTACAGAAGACCAGCATGCTGAAGGTGATGAGCTTGGCTTCATTGAAAGTGTCGGGCAACTTCCGTGCAAAGAAGGCCACCACGAAGCTGATGATGGCCAGAAGCCACATGAAGCCCAGCACAATGTAGAACATAATTTCTGAGCCTTCATTGCATTGCACCAAGATCTCACCAAACTGGGAGTGCATGTCCAACTCTGGGAAAGGGGGAGAAATTATCAGCCACACAGCACAAATGGTCATTTGAATCAAGGAGCAAAGAACAATGACAAAGATGGCCAGCCTCTTCCCCACCCACTTCCTCATCCTGTTCCCTGGCTTTGTGGCCATAAAGGCTAGAATTACAGTGATGGTTTTGGCCAACACGCAAGACACTGCAATGGAAAAGACAACTCCAAAAACTGTCTGTCGAAGAAGGCATGTGGCTGTCCCAGGACAACCAAGGAAAAGGAAGGAGCAGAGAAAACACAGCAGCAGTGAGAAGAGGAGGGTGCAGGTGATGCCCCAGTTGTTGGCTTTGACGATGGGAGTGTTCTGGTAGTGGATGAAAGTCCCCATCACCACAATGGTGATTCCTGAGAAAGAAACAGTACAAGTAGCCAGAACTGCTCCCAGGACCACTCCATAGGATAAGAAGGTAACGCTTTTGGGAATGCAGTGATCTTGCTTCTCATTTGGATAGTGGTCTTCTGGGCATTTTTCACATTCCTTGTGGATGAAAGTCCCCATCACCACAATGGTGATTCCTGAGAAAGAAACAGTACAAGTAGCCAGAACTGCTCCCAGGACCACTCCATAGGATAAGAAGGTAACGCTTTTGGGAATGCAGTGATCTTGCTTCTCATTTGGATAGTGGTCTTCTGGGCATTTTTCACATTCCTTGGCATCTAAAATTCATAAGCAAGATCTTTAATCATTCTGCATATTGAGTTGCTACTGATGTTTTAGCAAATATTCCTTGAGAAGAAAAGAAAAGATCCAACCCCTTTTGGGACCAATACAGTGGGCCATGCCAAATAGTGGATATGTGCTGAACCCTGACTTGCCCAACCTTTCTTACCATTTTGCAATGTGAATTTGATAACTATGAAGGGCAATCTTGTGATGGAAGTCATGGGTGAGGAGGATCATGGCACGGAAGTCCAAGGTCATAGGGAAGGGGGGGAAGAATCCCAAGCATCTCCTCAGTCCTCAACCAGAGTGTGTGAAAGTGAAGAGGAGGAGGCTGGCACCTCCCTAAGGAATTCAGTGGGTTTAGTTGCTGTCGTTGGAGGTTAGAGTTAGTCTGGCGAGATTCTGTCTAGTAGATGTAAGCTAATAAAGTAACTGAATTGTCCCACTCAGTATCTTGGGCTGAACCAGACGAATCTATATGGAAAGAGTAGATGTTACCTAGTAACTGAAGATGGTACCTACTCGGGTAATGAAATGTCTGCAAGAAAACAACCAAGCTCAGAGAACTCCAAGGACTCTACAGTTCAACCCTGAGCTACATATATTCTCTTCTATTAGAATTTATTTAAGTACACATTTGTGCCTCTTACCAGTCTTGATTGAAATCCTTCCCTCTGAACACTGAATGCAGTCATAGCAGCAAATAGGTTCCCCCTGCTTTGTTAATTTTCGGTATCCAGGATGGCAACTTTCTACACATGTTGAAGAAGGTGGTAACTAACCAGAATGACAAAACGCAAGTTGATGGATAGCAGTTTTGCTTTTCCAGAATGGGTCAGCAATCATTCTCATTATTATCCTTCTGCCTATAAATTTGTAATACATTCTCCATTCTAGGCTAATAAATGGTTTGCAGAAGTTATTAATTAATTAAGTAATTCAAATGAGATAAATGTCCCAAGTAGGACTGTCAAAGAATACATTCTTTGCGTGGAACCATTTTTGCACTGATTTAATGTAATTAAAAAGAAAAATTTAATCTATGAGAAAAGGGGTAAAAATCCTTGTGACTTTTACTTTGAAAGGACACCAGTGTTTTGGCCTTTCCCCACTGCCAGTATAGGGTGCTATTCACCCTTCCTTCAACAGACAGTAAATTCTACCCGTTGAAAATATCACTTCCCTCCCTGCATCCATTCCCTCTGGGTTGGTTTCCCACCAAATGGTGGTGTCCTTATTTCCTCTGTGCAAAGAAGGTTACGCAGCACTATTGGTTAAACCCTCTGAATTGGTTCACAAGTACGTTTAGAGTATGGGAGCATTAGGACCTATGGTAGCATATATGACATTTGTGGATCAGGAAGATTTTGTTCCTGGTGTCCTGGAATTATGAGTAAAGTCACTTTACTTTACTGGAATAATGTTGTCAGAGGGCAGAAGTGATATCTTACCCTAAGCCTAACCCAGGTTCTGATCAAAAGCCTCTCCAAAGAAAGAAAAGGGGAATGGAACAGCCTTAATCTATGCTAAAAGGGTGACCCTCCTGTCAGTATCAACATCGCAGGGTTCAGCCAGCTACTTCTATTAAAGGGCCTTAAGAGCTTGATGTTTTGGAAGAAATAAAGTAGAATAAGGTAGACTTTAGAACTGCATCATTTCTTCAGGGTGTCAATGATGTTCTAAACTCAGCGGGAGGCTTTCGGTGGACTTCTGAAGATCTCTCCCATTACTAATTTTATATTTCAGCCATTAAGAAAAGTAATGATCATCTTTCTCCTGTTTAATTTTAACCTACCTCCTTAAACCGGGGATTCCATATAATGGCACTTTCATTTATACTGAGTCGTTCCCTTTGAGAACTCTGAGGCTCGGTCCTTCCAACTCGGACTTTGTGGAAGGATCGATTGGGGAATGTGACCAAGCTGATGATGTCGTATCTTCCTCCCAGGTTCCCACCGTCATCCAAAACTATTTCTTCCCCAGCACTATTGTTGAAGCTGATATTTTTCAGAAATACGTGAAGCTAAAAGTGAAGAGCTATAGATGACAAATTGGTGCAAATAGAAGGCAGTGGGATTAACAGTTTCATTCTCTGGTTTACTGAACTGTGATCTCCTTGATTTCTTGATTAATATTTGTACATTACTGTTCACTTATCTTCTGTTTTTTAAAATGTGAGATGAGAGAAAGAGACGAACCAGTACCCACATGAACACACATCCATACACACACACACACACACACACACACACCTGGTTGTTATCTGTTGGTTTGGACTACTAATCCCTTGATCAAATAGATACCGCTTCAGAATGTACAGTGCATATAGAAGCATCTGAAAATGTTCTTGTCAATAATTCTGCTTAAGTATGTTTTACTTAAACTGCATGTTACTTAAAAATATAGGAAGAATATAACATATGTTTCTGTTCTTTATTTAAGAGTGAACCTGCAGGACTATGAGTGATAGATACTTCACCTATCATTTATATTGCCAAAAAGTGACTTTACCCGTAATTATTAAAAGCAGGTTGGGCTGCCTCTTAGCATAAGATTAAAACAAAAACAAAAAACTATTGTGTTTCAGTGCTGGTCGAGGTGTGGTTTTCTCCTTAGTAGTTCCTTGATGAGGGTATTGCTTTCTGCCTGTTTGCCTGGTGTTAATCCCTGCTTATCCAGGTGTTGGCTGCTGGAGAGGATGTGTTCTGATCTTTTTGTTTCCTTCTTAGCTTTTTTATTGTCTCTTTTAAGCTTCCAGGAATTCCCTACCACTTTTGGATTTAGCTTGCTCTAGGATCTTCATAGTTTCCCAGCTGAAACTATGGTTGAGTCTGTCCATGTGTTATGAGATTAAGGCATTTTCGTCATGTCTTCTGACTGCTAGTTGGTGTTCATGGATGTGCTCTGCTAGCCTTCTGCCTGTTTGTCCTACAAAGTGGCTGTTTCAGTCCTTACACTGTATGTCATAGATGACTCCTGTTTTTAATTCTTGGGATTTTTCTTACTGGATCTTTTGGTTTACTGAGAATGTTTGGAGGGCTTTAGCCGTTTTGGTGCTATGGTAATATTGTGTGGTTGTAATAGTCTGAGATGTTTTTGATGTATGGTAGCATTTACTTTTTCATAGCATCTGTTGGTTGTACTGTAGTGAGTTGACTGGTCAGGCACTTTTTGATAAAGTTGTGTGAGTATCCATTTTGTTGGAAGATGTTGTATAGGTGGTCTGTTTCCTTTTTCTGGTGTTCTGGGTTGCTGCAGTGCATTTTTTCTCATCTGAATTATGTTCTTACAGAGCTCCTCTTCTGCAAGGTTGGGTTGATACTTTGGAAATGGAGCACTTGTGTAGTATGGGTTGTTTTTCAATAAACTTGCATTTCAAATTTGCTGTTGTTTCTTCTGCTGATGACATATCCGGGAAGGGTAGTGTGTTCTTGTTTATTTCTTCCATTGGGAATGTTATTCCTCTGAAGATGTTTTTGATAATTTCATGTCTCTTCCCTCTTATGATGAAGGTGTCATCTACATACCAGATCCATACTTTTGGTTGTATGTGTGGGAGTGCTATAGTTTCTATATGCTTATGATGAAGGTGTCATCTACATACCAGATCCATACTTTTGGTTGTATGTGTGGGAGTGCTATAGTTTCTATATGCTTATGATGAAGGTGTCATCTACATACCAGATCCATACTTTTGGTTGTATGTGTGGGAGTGCTATAGTTTCTATATGCTGCATTATGGTCTCTGCTATGAGTTACCTACTTGGGTAATGAAACATTTGCAAGCGAACAACCAGGTTCAGAGAGCACCAAGGACTCCACAGTTCAGTCCTGAGCTACAGATATTCTCTTCTATTCGAAGAAATGATTAAACAGAAACAAATTATTAAGTAAGGCAAGCTACATTATCTTACTCTTCTACACCATTTTCTTGTGAAACCTCACCAAAACAGGTAAAAATGGCACCATTGAAATTTGATGACAAAATGGCTAGATTTTTAAGTTTCATGAGGGTACCTGTAACAATGGAGGACTTTGGTGAGCATCTGTTGAATAAAGTCACTCTGATTGACTCACAGTTGGCCTCTGGCTGTGTTGGTCTGCCAGAGATGATTGGGGTGCAGTCTTGTCTGGTTATCTGGGTTGAGTGGCTTCCACTCCAGTGGCTTCCAACAGAGTGGACAGGTTCCTTGGGACTCTGAGTTCTGCTACCTATGCATTAGACACATTTCCCTCCTAGTTGGTGAAAGCCTCCCAGGAGGTGACAAATAGCTAGGTCCAAGCAGTAGTGAATGCCTCACTTGTGGCAGAGAATGGTTCCTGCCTCAAGATGTCATCCCTGGACCCAGCAGTCCTAGACAATTTCCATCCAGTCTCCAACCTTCCCTTCTTGGGAAAGATTGTTGAGGAAGTGGTAGGCTTGCAGCTCCAAATGGTTCCGCAGGAAATTGATTATCTGGACCTACTGCACTTACCTTTTCATGATAAAATACCAATATGGCATCAATCATACTTCTGAATGACTTCTGGCAGTCTTGGGATGAAGATAGTATATCCATCTGGGCCCTCCTTGATTTTTCAGCACTTTCAATACCATTGATCATTGTATCCTTGTGAACTGGGAAGGGTTTTTGGCAGTGGGCAGCATAGTTATTCTGTGGTTCTCCTCCTTCCTCTGTGCCGGATTCCAGTTAGTGTTGGTAGTAAGGAGAAGGTCTAACCCTAGGTCTCTGCTTTGTGGGGTACCACAAGGCTCAATTCTCTTCCACACTCCTCTTTAACCTCTACGTGAAACCACTGGGCAAGATCATCCATAGACACAGGGTTGAGTATCACCACTATGCTGAAGGTACTCAGGTATACATCTCTGCTCTGGGCCACCCAAATGATGCCATCAAGTTACTTTCCTAATGCCTAGAGGCTGTCTAATTGGGAGTGCTTGTGGGTTTTAATGCCCCCCCCCTTATCTAGTGATTCTCCATCATTAACTCTAGATGGGGTAACAGTCCCCCAGGAGGAGTTGAAGCACAAACTGGGGGTCCTCCTGGACTTGCAGCTTCTGCTTGAGAAGCAAGTGGCAACCATGGCAGGAGAGCCTTTGCATCACTACATCTGTGTGCCCGTTACACCCATTCCTAAATTCCTAGGTGGCACTGCTCACTGTTACTCATGTCTTAGTCACCTCCTGGTTGGACTATTGCAACATGCTCTACACAGGGCTGGCCTTGAGAAGCATTTGGAAGCTTCATCTGGTCCAGAATGCAACAGCATGTGTAGTATTGGGCCCTTCATGGTATGCCCACCTATCACTGCTGCCCTGTGAGCTGTGCTGGCTCCCATCAGGCTTCCAAGTGCAATCTGAGGTTCTGATTGTCCGTTTGAAAGCCCTACATGGCAAAGGACCAGGTTACTCATGGGACTGCCTCTCCCCAGTGGTTTCTGCCCAGCCTGTCAGATTAAGCAAAGTCAGCATGCTCTGGGTCCCAACAGTGAAGCAGTGTCAGTTGGTGGACCCTGGGAAGCATGTCTTCCTTGTCATGGCACCTATCATGTGAAACAGCCTCCCCCCTGAGATACGGACAGACCCTACTCTGCTGGTCTTCTGAAAGGCCATGAAGACCTGGCTCTTCACCCAGGCATTGGGGCCAGGGTGTTATTGGTGCTCTGACATAGCTGTAGATAGATTCATACTGGGATTTTGTCAGGGGCTTCAATTAGCATTAATAAAATAAAATTAGCATTAGGATAATGGGATTATTACTGCATAAGTGTACATTGGGATGAAGCCAAAAATAATTGATAAATGGTATTTTAATGAATTTAAGTTCAGTATTATATTGTAGTTAAGATCCCAATGAAAGACACCATAACTGACCTGCCAAGGTTGGACTTTCAGCAAATTCCACTTCTCTCCATTGTCCATTGTCTTCTGCCTGGCTCTAGATGCATACATGGCATGGAGAGCATGTGCCACAGCATGCACAGCATTGTAAATAGCATAACTCTGGCCAGACATTTGCATTTCAAAGACTGTCCCAGGGAGGCTCCCCAAATCCTCTTCCCCAGTGCAGATTC